TTCTTGAAACATACTGCGCTTTATATATATGTACATAACAGACAGTATGTTTCAAGAATTTATTTAAATGCCTTCCCGATTGAAATTGGAGCTGAAATTTGGCATGCATAAACTAGATTTGATGAAGAACATGCTCAAAGAATTTCATAAAAAACTTCCAGAGGGAAGGGCCTCAAACGGGCAAGTCCGCACAACATTCCCTGTCAAGCGCGCTTGACAGGATCATTCCCCTCTTTCTCTCTCTCTCTCTCTCTCTGTATGTGTATGTATGTATGTATATATATATATATATAATTAGATTCAAGTGAGAAAATGATCTTAGGAGAGAAATGAGAATGAATCTGGACCGTTACATTGTAATTTGTGAAATTGAATGTGTATTAGATGAAACTGAAATGTGCATTAGATAAAGTCAAAATGTGCATCACAAAAGGGAAGGCATACTGTCATTATGTGAAGGTGAATTGTGTATTAGGTTAAACTGAAATGTGCATTATGTGAAACAAAAATGTGCACAATAAAAGTTATGATGTGAGGGCACTTTTGTGCCTTTTATTCTGCACATTTCAATTTCCTGTAATGCACATTTGAGTTGTACTTTTATTCTGCACATTTCATTTTCATCTAATGCACATTTTAGTTTCATCAAATGCATAATTCAACTTCACACAATCCAATCCAATCCAACAGTCCAGATTCATTCTCATTTCTCTCCTGAGAGTCCTTTCTCACCAGAACCCTCCCCTATGTGTGTGTGTATGTAGGAAACGGTTCCAGTGAGAAAGGACTCCCAGGAGAGAACTGAGAATATATCTAGAGCATTTAATTTAATATATTCGAAACTGAATTGTGCATTAGATGAAATTGAAATGTGCAAAATAAAAGGTACAAAAATGGCATCACAGCGTACCTTTTGTTTTGCAAATTTCAGTTTCACAGAATGCACAATTCAACTTCACATAATGTCACTTCATTGTACTCTTTATGTTGTTCATTTCAATTTCACCTAATGCACATTTCATTCTCATTTCTCTCCTAAGATCATTTTCTTATGTGAACCTAATTGTAAGTGTGTGTGTGTGTGTGTGTAATTCGGTTCAATATCTAAGGAGAGAAACGAAAATGATTCCAGAGAACTTTTAATCAAAATCTTTGATTTTATTCAATCATTGGTAGGATGCGTGTGGGGTCCTTTGTGTATTTCTTTCAAAATTCAATCGGGGTGCTTTTTGTAATTATTATAAAATAATTACAAAAATGCCACCTGAGTGACAAAAATGCCACCTGTAAATGAGTTCTCAATTTATCAGGGGTTCTCACTAGAACCTTCCCCTATATTTTAAAGAGACAAATCTTGAAGTTCCCACGTAGGTTGATGAAGAAACCATAGACGAGGAGATACTTTGCGACACCGACCTTAATTACCCTTCCATATATGGATGACCTCTCACCTAAAGCGTCCTTGAAAGATAGCCTTGATGAAGATGTTGATCCTACACGAGCCCAACCACCCGTTGGAGTAGTTGATGAAACTTGTGGTGTTGAGGAAACATTGCCTGATGTGCACTAATTAGTAATGCATAAATGTTTTTATGTTTGATTTGTGTGGATTGCTTACTTTTATTAATTAGTTTGTAAACACTTGTGTGATTTTGATTGTAATTGTATTTTAGCTTTCATTTGTAAGTTGTAAAGTAGTAGTAGCTAGAGTTGATGACTTGATGGTGTTGGAAAAGGTGGAAAAGTTGAAGATATTCTGCCCAGGAGCATTACCCGGTCGGGTAGGCACTCTCACCCGGTCGGGTATGACAAGAAAACCGAAGCTGCTTGGAAGTTGCACACTTACCCGGTCAGGTAAGGTACTTTACTCGATCGGGTAGTATGATGTGACTCGGACCAACGAACGTGCTGAAAACATAAGAACATGGCGAATCGATCCGATTTTGATTGATACCCGGTCGGGTATGCGCTATACCCGGTCGCGTACTGGGCCAAAGGTGTTGAAAACACCTATAACTAGCACATTTTTCCTTTACTAAAATTCATTCCTATTTCCATACTCTTAAGCTCAGTTTAGAATAGTTATTTCTTTATATTTTTATAGCGTGTTTAGTCTTCAAATGGGGAGCTAAACTTCCATTCTTGGTTTTTCTCTTGAAGCTTGTTGAATGTTAAAGTTGTGAGTTATTTTCTTAACTTCTTCTCTTGAATATTAGTTCTTCCCTTAATCTTATTTTTATATTAATGTTGGGGTGTTGCTAAGTGACGATTAGTTAACGCTTTGAGATTAATTATTACTAGAAACGATCAATGAACCGATGGTTAATCATTGATGGTTTCACAAGTAAGTAACTTCGGTTTATTAATGCATGGTCGTGGTTAATAAACTTAAGAGGGATTAATTGTGTTGGTTAAACTGAAACCATTGTGTTGAGGTTATCAATCTCAGTTGATTTCATCAAGGAGTTAAAAAGATTAAATGCTACTTAGAGGACCCTCCCCTATATGGAAGAGACAAATCTTGAAGATCCCATTTAAGAGTAAATGAGTTCTCAGTTTAGGAGTGGTTCTCGCAAGAACCCTTCCCTATATTTGGAAGAGACAAATCTTGAGGATCTCACGTAGGTTGATGCATGAAGAAACCACAGACGAGGAGATACTTTGCGACACTGACCTTAATTACCCTACCATATATGGATGACCTCTCACCTAAAGCGTCCGTGATATATAGCTTTGATGAAGATTGTTATCCTACACGAGTCCAAGCGCCTGTTGAAGTAGTTGATGAAACTTGTGGTGTTGAGGAAACATTGCCTGATGTGCACTAATTAGTAGTGCATAAATGTTTGTTTTATGTGGATTGCCTATCTTTATGTCAGGGAAGCTAAAACTGATTTTTGAACTAGAGTTTTTGTATACCCATGACTAGTCAAGGATGATCGAGGATTTTTTAATGTGAACTTTGACTTGTGCTCATAACTACTTAGTAGTCATTTTTGCATACATGCTAATATTAAAGGGTTTTTTTTTAGTATGTTGTATCATAAAAGTCGAGTTATTATAGTGCTTTCATGGATATATTGTGATACCTTGAAAATTTGAAATAAAAATAAATAAATCAGATAAGTTATATCTGATAAATCAAATGAAAGTAAGATCAAAATATTTTTTTTATTATACTTGGTGTATAAAAATATACGCACACTACATGCAATAGAATTAAACACTTATGTAGCATCGGGAAAAAAAAAAAGATAATAAAAATAAAATGGAAATAAATCAGATAAAATATAGGTGACAGAATAAATAAATAAATAAATAAATAAATAAATAAATAAATAAAAAATAAATAAATAAATAAAAATAGTAAGAATATTATAAATTACTAATAATAGCATCAAATTAATAAATGAAAATATCATATCATAAAACAATGACACATGCTAAGATCACCTACCAAATAATGTATATACATTATGTACATATATTTAAATATGTATATATATATATATATATATTTATATGTAAAACTCAAAATACATTTAAGTAATTAAAAATAATAATAATAAAATAAAATAAAATGAAACATCAATATAAATAGGAATCAAATCAGGGATCAATACACATGCCATGTTCATCAACTACCAACCTATCATTATGTATAGACATTATTATTTTTATTTTTATTATTATTATTATTATTATTATTATTATTATTATTATTATTATTATTATTATTATTATTATTATTATTATTATTATTATTATTATTATTATTATTATTATTATTATTATTATTATTATTATTATTATTATTATTATTATTATTATTATTATTATTATTATTATTATTATTATTATTATTATTATTATTATTATTATTATTATTATTATTATTATTATTATTATTATTATTATTATTATTATTATTATTATTATTATTATTATTATTATTATTATTATTATTATTATTATTATTATTATTATTATTATTATTATTATTATTATTATTATTATTATTATTATTATTATTATTATTATTATTATTATTATTATTATTATTATTATTATTATTATTATTATTATTATTATTATTATTATTATTATTATTATTATTATTATTATTATTATTATTATTATTATTATTATTATTATTATTATTATTATTATTATTATTATTATTATTATTATTATTATTATTATTATTATTATTATTATTATTATTATTATTATTATTATTATTATTATTATTATTATTATTATTATTATTATTATTATTATTATTATTATTATTATTATTATTATTATTATTATTATTATTATTATTATTATTATTATTATTATTATTATTATTATTATTATTATTATTATTATTATTATTATTATTATTATTATTATTATTATTATTATTATTATTATTATTATTATTATTATTATTATTATTATTATTATTATTATTATTATTATTATTATTATTATTATTATTATTATTATTATTATTATTATTATTATTATTATTATTATTATTATTATTATTATTATTATTATTATTATTATTATTATTATTATTATTATTATTATTATTATTATTATTATTATTATTATTATTATTATTATTATTATTATTATTATTATTATTATTATTATTATTATTATTATTATTATTATTATTATTATTATTATTATTATTATTATTATTATTATTATTATTATTATTATTATTATTATTATTATTATTATTATTATTATTATTATTATTATTATTATTATTATTATTATTATTATTATTATTATTATTATTATTATTATTATTATTATTATTATTATTATTATTATTATTATTATTATTATTATTATTATTATTATTATTATTATTATTATTATTATTATTATTATTATTCATACAATTATCAAATAAATAAAATAAACCATAAGGACCATCTAGACCTATAAATACACCCTCTTAGCCATCCTAAACACTGCAAATCGGAGAGATAGAAGCTATATATACATATACATATATATACATAATCACGCCGGAAAATTTATGCCTATAATATTTTACGTATCAAACTTCGTAAAAACGATAGAAGAGGGTCGTGAGAGGTCTAGGAATACTTCCCAATAAATTCCAGACCGATTCGTAGTCACCGGAGCATCCTAGAGGTCGCCGGAGTTGCAAGCCATGGAAACGGGTCTTCAGCAAAAGCGGACAATTGGCCGTAGATAGGGGTGGAGGAGCTTCGTCTCGACGTGAGGATCATTTTGCAACTTGAATCGTCGAAATCCGTTACCTGTAAGTAAAGTTATCGCTTGCCGGAGTTTTCGGGATTCCGGACGCCGGAATCGCGACTTGGAGAAGAGCTGGGAAGGAGACAACCCAGTCTTCTTGGGCCGGGTCGCGAATTTGGGCCGGTTCGGCCCGTTTTCAATAAAAAATTAAAAATAAAATAGTAAATGAAATAAATAAAATCTGGAAAAATATAAATTAAATACCTGGTATAAAAATACATATTCGGACCAAGAATAATTGAAAAATAATATTTATAGCTATTTTTAATTGATTTAATTGTAATTGGGCCAAGTTGTACACATTTAGTAAATAATTAACTAAATGACGAAAATAATTATGAAATAAATATGGGAGCAAGCTAGATTAAATATATGACTAACTAGAACATTTGGGACCATTTTTAATTAATAAAAATTATAATTAGCATATTTAATTGTAATTAAACCGGTTAATAGATATATGAAATTAAGTGAATAAATAAAGGAAATAATTCTAAAATAAATATCTGGACAACCCAGGTCAAGTATAGACCCAAACTATAGTTATGGATGATTAGCAATTTATAAAAGTGATGATTAAGTTATTTAATTTAATTGAGCCATATAAACTAGTTAAGTAATTAAATAAGGAAATTTTGATATTAATGGTGAAATAAATAAATCACTAAGATTGAAAATAATGTTCTGAACTTAAAATGATGTTTGTAATAAAATAAGGAAAAGAAAATAAACTTGGGTTATCTAGTATAAATGAATGACTATATTTGGACTTAATAAATAAATTATTGAATTAGTTGACTAATTAAATTAGCGTGATTAAATTAATAATTATTATTATCCTTGATTATTAGTGATTTGGAATCCATATAAATTATTAAACTATTTGAACTCTTAACAATTAGTTGATGAATATAAACAAATTAATTAAGTAATGTGTACTTAATAAGTTAGTTCATTGACTTCATTGGACTAGTTTAACTAAATCAATTAGTTTAATGGATAAATTAGTTAATTTATAGACTTGATAACCTTTCTGGACTTTATATTAAAAATAGAAAATTAAAACGAGATTAGAATTTGATTATTGGACTTAATTGAATTAGATTAACGTATTTAGCTATATTGATATAATTAAACTTATTTATTTGATTTAGTTAGTTCAATTAAATTAGTGATTCAAATAAATAAAACTGGAGGATTGGATAAATTAATTTAATTGGGTTAGTTAGTATAAATAAACTATTGAACTAATTAAAGTTGTTATTGAGATTAGATTATCATTAATGATTATTATTTTGAATTATTACCTAAGTCAAGTTATTATTAAAAGGGTTATTAAATAAATTATATAAATTATGTAAACTGAATTTTGAACTGAAATTGATTATTTAAATTCGAAATAATGAAATTATTATGTAGTTAATATAATTGGACTAGTTAACTATTTAACCAAACAAATTAAGAAAAACCGAGTTGGGTTATTATAATTAAAGGAAATAATAAGAATGAACTGGAAATAAACAGTTAGTAAGATTTATTAATTTAATATTTATATTTAAAGAAGGAATTATGAAGTTAAAGTAATTAAAGGTTGGATATAAAAGAAATAACGAAATAATAGAATAGTTATTGATTTAGAATTTTGATCAATATTAGAAGGAGAATTCAAGTGAAGATCAAGCTAGAGATTTTATTAAGGAGATTATCGCAATTTAAGGTAAGTTCTATGTCAACCAAAATGTTTTGCCTCGTACTTATATGTATGCAATATTTGCACTATGTGAATTATTTATGAATTGGAAATTATATGTTTGACATGGATCGAATATTTTGACTATATGAATATTGGTGGATTATTACCTTTTATGGATGATTAAATGTATATTCTTTTTATTAAAGAATATTGGTGGATTTATATTTATTACAAAGGATATTTTGAGAAAATGTGACAATAATGATTTGGGGAAAACTTAAAGTTTTCATAATATATATTCTTACGTCTCGAGAGAAACATGAGGCGTGGGTGGTTAGGGCTACTACTACTTTTGGTGAAATTTATTTGGGTCGGTAACCAGTCCGGCAATGACATACTCCGGTAGACATCCCGGGCTTTTATTTGAGGATCAAAGATCCTTTGGTGGTCGTAGTAGTAGTTACCTAATTTACCCTTGGACAATGTCCCTTGTGAGTAGGTGGTAGAAAACATCCTGCCTACTTGGGTTTCTTACTACTCGGAGGGCTTGGAATCCCTTTTAGAGGGTGTGCACACTTAAGGTAGAAATTCAGCTTCCAATTGGTGGTCGGTGGGAGCCGGAATTCCGGGATGAGTCGTAGATAACAACGACTCATTGGGCTCGAGGAATCTTGAGTTTCGCCCACTCTTAAAAGAATCTAAAGTATACCTTTTGGAGGAATTGAAGGATGATCTTATCTATTGTGGAAATTATTTTATGACATTAAACCATTTTGGAAATATGAGAGACTACTTTTCGATATATATACATATACAAAAACCTATTTTTCAAATTATATTATTTTACGGGTTCGGGTGGAATCTTACTTAGCTCTAAAGCTAATTTTTGTCTCTTTTCTCTTTTTCTCTTTGCTCTATTGTACAGATGATTATGATTATGAAGATTGATGTACTTGCTGCCCGAGTGTTCCGCTAGTTGCACACGTTTGATTAATTATTGTTGTTTAAATTTGTAATCCATAAACTTATTTTAAGTTTTATCTGATGGCTACTTGAATTAATGGTGGATAGCCTGTGCACTCAATCATGTATAGGTTGAGTGTGGTGGTGACACACCTGTTTTTCCATTAAAGACTTCCGCTGTACTCTAAATATGTTTTATAATAAAGATGTTTTCATTTCAAAATGTTATTTTATTTTGGTGGGAGAAATGGGGGTGTTACAAGTTGGTATCAGAGACTTAGGTTTTCCAAAGGGATTAGAACACGAGGTAATAGGTTGTATGGAGAAATTCTGTCACCAAGACGATAAGAGTCTAAGGCTGTTGGTTCTTAATTGAGCCTTTGCGCTCGTCCAACTACCTGGGAATTTCTCCTTGTGCTGAGACTTCGTCGTTCGAAATCGTGAAGGAAACCTTTGAAATTGTACCTTCGAAAGGGAGATTTTCAAATATTTTTAAAGATTAGGAAAGATAATATAGCTAGGAAATGGCCTTTTAGGAACGTGGTGAGGACCTTGTGAGTATTTATTTTTCTTGTATCATGTATGTGATAATGGTGCTAATTGTGGGCCCATATGAGAAATGGGAACCCAAAATGGTAAATGGAATGCCTCATAAGGCAAAATTCCTAAGTGGCTAAGGTATGTACAAACATTATGTGCGAAAGTGCTCTTATGTGAAGTATGAATCCTCTGTATGATTGTTAAGTACATTTTTATATGATCTTGTTACATAGCCTATGGAATCCTTAGTTGAACTAGGATCCTTAGGAGTAAAATATAGAAATTCTTACACGAATACTTTGTGTCATCAAGATATCATGGCACCAAGAAGAGACCCTGATAACACGCCCACCAATGCTGAGTTGGCACAAAGCGTTCAGCAACTGGCACAATTTATGCACACATTGGGTGCTACTGTGCTCCAGAACAGTCAAAACCAGAACAATGGGAATGATGCCGCAAAACGAGTGGCTTCTCGCAACCCTCCAAGCTTTCATGGGCAAGAAGATCCTCGTATCCTCGAGAATTGGCTCCGACTCTTTGACAAACTCTTCGACGCGGTGAGCTGTCCGGAAGAGCAAAGGGTTGACATTGCTGTTTACTATTTACAGCAAGAGGCGGATAACTGGTGGGTCTCATCAGGCCCAACTTTACGTCAACAACCTGACTTCAATTGGGAAGCTTTCAAGATTGCAATGAGGAAACGTTTTTATCCTGCACACGTTCAGGCCACCATGCGTGATGAATTCATACATTTGAAACAGATGGGCATGAGTGTCCAGGAATATCACAATAAATTCGTGGACCTCGCGCCATTTGCGAAAACAATAGTGCCTGATGAAAGCACCAAAGTTGAGAAATTTATCTATGGACTAAACTATGATACGCAGAAAATCGTCGCTGTTTTGGGTTGCCAAACTCTGACTGAAGCTTATGATAGAGCTGCAGTTCACTATCGAGTTCAGCAACTACAAAGAGAGAGGAACCAGAAGATGAAGAGGGACGAAGATGGAGGTCGAGGAGAAAAGAGGGTTAGAGTGCACCCACCTACACAGCAACAAGAAGGGAGGAGGAGGAGAGATGACCAAGGTGGAAGAAATTTCCACGGTCAAAACCAACAAAATGATCGAAGAGTTGCTCCCAGAGATAGACACTTCTACTGCAAGAGGTGCGGGAGAGATCATCCCGGTGTTAACTGCGATGGAAGCCTGACAAAATGTTTCAATTGTGGGAAGCTAGGGCACCGAACCTTCGAGTGTCTCTCAAAGACCAATGGGGCACCAGTGAACCAGGTGCAATACCGTGATGGAGGAAGACCAGATATGAACCAAGCTGGGCCAAATGGAGGACAAAATAACAACAACAATGCCGCCGCCGCCAACAACAACCGCAACCCTCGAGGAGGAGGGAAGAATAATCGTGGCAATGGCAATGGCGGGAACAATGGCAATGGCGGAAACAACGGAAACCGTCCGAACCAAGGGCAAATCGTGGTGATGAATCAGGCCCAAGCCAATGCTAATGATGTGGTTTCAGGTACATTCCTTGTAAATTCTGAGCCTGCTTATGTTCTATTTGATTCTGGTGCTTCTCACAGTTTCATATCTTCTAGTTTCGTTAAGAAATTGAAGATTGAACCAACGGCTAGAATAGACTTGAATGTAAGAACTGCCTCAGATAAATTCGTAACTTGTGGAAATGTATACTCCAACATTTCCATACTCATATCCGAATCCAACCTACCTGGAGATTTAATCCAATTTGACTTAAAAGATATAGACATAGTGCTGGGCATGGATTGGTTGGGGAGATACAAAGCCAGGATCCTCTGTGATGAACTGAAGGTGATCTTGAAGGGTCCAAATGGGAAGCGAATATCTTACAAAGCAATCACATCCAAGCCTAGTATGAGGCTGATGACTATGCAACAATTAAGGCGACATATTCGAAAGGGGTATGAAACATACATGTGCTTTATGAAAGAGGTGAATACAGGGGAGCCAAACATTGACCAAATTGCCGTAGTCAATGAATTTCCGGATGTATTTCCGGAAGAGATTCCAGGGATGCCACCCGAGAGAGAAGTTGAATTCTCAATTGAGTTGATTCCCGGAACCGCGCCAATTTCAAAAGCACCTTACCGGATGGCACCGAAAGAAATGCAGGAGCTGAAGGAACAACTAGAGGAATTGTTAGAGAAGGGGTACATAAGACCGAGTGTCTCACCTTGGGGCGCTCCGGTCTTATTTGTCAAAAAGAAAGATGGGAGTCTAAGGCTATGCATCGATTACCGAGAGTTGAATCAAGCAACTATCAAGAACAAGTATCCATTGCCCCGAATTGACGACTTGTTTGATCAATTGAAGGGGGCTAGCACGTTCTCTAAGATAGACTTGCGCTCTGGATATCATCAAGTGAGAATATCCGAAAAAGATGTACCAAAAACAGCATTCCGCACGAGGTATGGACACTACGAGTTCACTGTGATGCCGTTTGGTTTAACAAATGCACCGGCGGTATTCATGGACTTAATGAACCGTGTATTCCGACCTTATCTTGATACATTTGTGGTGGTATTCATCGATGATATTCTTGTGTATTCAAAAACCCCGGAGGATCACGAGAAACACTTGAGACTCACGTTACAAACTTTGAGAGAGAACCAGTTGTATGCCAAACTCTCAAAGTGTGACTTCTGGCAGGATCGGGAGCATTCTTGGGTCACATCATCACCTAGGAAGGCGTATCCGTAGATCCATCGAAAATTGAAGCGGTGGTTGAATGGCGTGCACCTACCTCGGTCACAGAGGTAAGAAGTTTCTTGGGATTAGCGGGATACTATAGGAGATTTGTTAAAGATTTCTCCAAGATAGCAAGACCGCTAACCAACCTGACAAAGAAGACAACCAAGTTCCAATGAAATGAAGATTGTGAAGCAGCATTCCAAGAGTTGAAGAAAAGACTCACAACTGCGGCGGTCTTGACACTACCGTCAGGGACGGAGGGATTTGATATCTATAGTGATGCATCCAAGAAGGGGTTGGGGTGTGTGCTAATGCAAAATAGGAAAGTGGTGGCTTACGCATCAAGACAACTAAAGGTGCATGAAGTCAATTATCCTACCCATGACCTGGAGTTAGCTGCAGTAGTGTTTGCTTTGAAAATCTGGAGACATTACCTATACGGAGCACATTGTAAGATATACACTGACCACAAAAGCTTGAAGTACATATTCACTCAAAAAGAGCTTAACATGAGGCAAAGAAGATGGCTCGAGCTTATCAATGATTACGATCTAGAAATCCAATACCACGAGGGAAAAGCTAACGTGGTGGCGGATGCTTTGAGCCGGAAATCTGAGCACTCATGCCGAGCAACATGGATATTACCAGAAGAACTATTCTGAGACTTCCAAAGATTGAGCTTGGAAGTAAAGCAATATGGCGAAGTAGATGGTGAAATACAGTTATGTACTATGACTGTTATACCATCTATCTTTGACGAAATCAAGAACGGACAACCGGGAGATGTAAAGCTCGAAAGAGTCAAGGAAGGAATGAAAGATGGCGTCAACGGACCATTTAAGATGCATGAAGATGGGAGCATCCGATACAAGGGAAGATGGTGTGTTCCACTGAAGTGTGCAGATATTAAAAAACAAATCATGGAGGAGGGACATAACACGCCCTACTCGGTACATCCCGGGGGAGACAAACTATACAAAGACCTCAAAAAGAACTTTTGGTGGCCGGGAATAAAGAAAGAAGTAGCTGAATTTGTATCCCGATGTTTGAACTGCCAAAAAGTCAAAGCAGAGAGATGCAAACCCAAGGGACTCGTGCAACCCTTGGAAGTACCAACATGGAAATGGGATTCAATCTCAATGGACTTTGTCGGGGGTTTACCTTTAACAAAGTCCGGGAAAGATAAAATTTGGGTGGTAGTGGATAGATTGACCAAAACTGCAAGGTTCATTCCTATGAATGAAACCTGGAGCATGGAGAAACTGGCGAAAGCCTATGTCAAATACGTGGTCAAACACCACGGAGTACCTCAAGACATCGTGTCAGACCGAGATTCACGATTCTTATCCCAATTTTGGAAAGAATTACAAACGGCTATGGGAACAAAATTGAAGTTAAGTACTGCTTTCCATCCAACCACGGACGGACAGACCGAAAGAACAATCCAAACATTAGAAGACATGTTGAGGGCATGTGTTCTTGATTTGCAAGGATCATGGGATGAACACCTAGACTTGGTAGAGTTTTCGTACAATAACAGTTACCATGCTAGCATCGGAATGGCCCCATACGAAGCTCTATATGGTCAAAAGTGTAGGAGTCCCTTATGTTGGGGTGACATGGTCGATCAGGTGGTTCTAGGACCACAATACTTGCAAGATACTATTGAGAAAATCAAAGTTATCCAAGAAAGGATGAAGGCTGCCCAAGACCGACAGAAATCATATGCCGATCTTGGGAGGAAACCAGCTGAATTCGAACTAGGGGAGAAAGTTCTACTCAAAGTCTCTCCTACAAGGGGTGTAATGAGGTTCGGGAAGAAAGGGAAACTAAGCCCGAGATTCATCGGACCCTATGACATCCTAGAGAAGGTGGGAAAAGTGGCATATCGATTAGCTCTACCCACGGAGTTGGATAAGGTAACAACCGATTTGAAATCAAATACTTCTCTACGATTAAAATACATTCTTAACATATCGATATATGCTAGGTACATAACGTCTTTCACGTATCACAATTAAAGAAGTATGTTCGAGATGAGTCACATATCATCAATCCGGAGGTAAGAAATCATAGACTTAATATGAGCCAAACGTAAATTGAAAAGAATATAAGTTAACCGTTATATTATTAGGTGATTGAAATGGATGAGACATTATCCTACGAAGAAAAACCCATAGAGATTCTCGATACTAAGACCCGAGAGACAAGGAAGAAGACAGTTAAGATGGTAAAAGTACTTTGGTCAAACCATTTGACCGAGAATTCAACATGGGAGACAAAAGAGGATATGCGTAAACGGTATCCTGAACTTTTCAATTAAGGTAAATATTCGGTTACGAGGACGTAACCTTTCTTTTAGGGGGGCAGGTTGTAATATCTTTATATATATAAAAGCTCAATCGTGAAGCAAACTTGCACAATCTGGCCATTAAGATTTACACGTGTCACAAGATGGTTAAAAGTAAAAATTACACATGTCCCAAGAAGAATAAAATATGCAAAACCATTCACGATCCACCATCTTTGCTAATCTCAACTGCAACGTGGCAACTCCTCAATTGTCTTCCAATCAAGTGGTGGGACGGTTACAACACGATATGCACATCTGGGCATGGCACAACTACGGCAGTTCAGCCCCTTAGCATTATTAAATATATTCTGCAACACACAAGTTCAAGCTATCAAAATTCACGTTAGATAACTGTATATCATTATTAGCCAAATATTTAACAAAATTACACTGCAATTGCAGAGGGTTGAAGACTAGGTTGAAAATGTTGTTCAACAGAATTCAGGAGCTTAACACCCTAAATGGCGTTTAGAGGCTACATCTATCCAGTTTGAGGTTAGTTTTTTTGAGTTTTAATAAGATTACTTGCTCTAAAAACTTATTTATATTATTTAATAAAAACAGAATATGGAAAGCATTACTGATGAAGCCAATGAAAGTAGGTTGAGGATATCAGAATAACGTAAATAACATATCTGGATTCAAACACAAAATGAGATGAAACATGTTGCTAGGACTGATAAACACAGAATGAGATGTCAAAGAAAAACCAGGGCAATTCATGTGACGGTTGAAAGGGTCTTAAGCATAGCTGGACTGCTAAAAGCAGCAATGGTTAATGTTGGGGGCAGTGACACAGTGTTATGATGTTTTGGCATCATTTATATTTTGTTTGGTGTTTTTAATATCCAATATTCAACCCTATTGCCTTATCTGACAATTACTTACTCATGTATAGGGGGGCAGAGATTCAATGTTTGTAATATCATTGATACTTTAAGTAGTTTAGAAAAACACAACATGTGTTGTCCTTGGGATAATACAGAGTAATTGTGATAGCAATTGTGGTTGCTATTTCAGAAATTAAGATATATTTACTTCAAATATAACTGTTATAGATTCATATTGTTTATTTGTAATAATAATGTTTAGGAGGCTATATCTATATGAACACATACATATATTCCCAATTTACGTTAGCTATTTGTAATGTTATTTATGTCTATTAACTACCATGTAGAAAGAGTACATACCACGTATGTGAAATATTCATATTATTTAATTATTTAACTTGCATCTGAAAATTGAATTTAATTAAAGAAATGGATGTCAAAACATAAATTGAATTTGGAATGTTGATATGAAGTTCATGCAATCAGATGAATTGTCTTAGAAATCACAAGTCAATAACTTTACATGTCAAAATTCACACTCAATTGAACTTATACTCCGTAGAGGTAAAAGACATTCTGAAATGTTAACTTACTTATATATTTCCAGATTATTCCTTTTTTACCCGAACCTCCTCCCTTCAACCCACCTTCAGTAACTTTGTATCACCTGAACACAAAGCATAGAATACATCAACTAAAATTCTTATAATTTGGATGCCATTTAAAATAAATAGCTCTAAAGAGAATAATGAATGATCTCTCCTAACCTTTATTTGGATGCCATGGATGCCATATACGTAGTTCGGAGTAATATATTTGATCTATTCTTCAAGATTTACATATATACCTCAACTGACCATTGAAATGAAGTATTAATAACGACACAAAAATATATACTTCGTATAACAATTATGGCTGATATTTCAAAAACAAGCAACAATTACTGAAACATTAAAAGGAATAGAAATTTTCAAAAGCACATGAAGCATATGCACCAAGATAGTGAACTTCATATACTCCGCACTTTATAATACACAAAGAATGAATCTACTAACATGGAAGAGAAGGTAAAATTAAATTTAGTACGTAGTGTATATCATATGAATTCATTAAATACTAAGAATTAAGAATATATACGAGTATTAAAAATGAAATATCTACAGCTATAAGAACATTTTATCAGTGCCCGTGCAAACTCTTATGTTTTAGAATGACACGAACATAAACACTCAAAGGATCATCCATATAAGCAACACACTGAATTTTGAGAACAACAACACCACCTTGAATTTTTTCAAATTTAAGCTAAATTTAAAATATAGACCAATATATATCAGATAGTAATTTAAGTAAAACAAAGGCAAAAAATGAATAAACACATCTCAGTCAATTAGATCTGAGATCAGATCTAAGAAGCTAACAAAAAAGAAAATAGTTCTTTGATTTAAGACTTATCTTATACTTGTGGGTGAACCTAAATAAAAGAAATTAGGGATAAGGGTCAGATAGGGCCTTGAACTCGAAAAAAAATGTCAAATAAGGTCATATTTCGGATGCTTTATCTGGCCGACGCCATTTGGGGCGGTTCCCGATGGAATTTTTTGATAAAATTTTTTGAGCATCTTCCTCATTAAGTCTAGTTTACCCATACCAAATTTCAGCTAAAAACTCAACCGGGAAGGTAGTCAAATGAGTTTTTGAAGATAACTGTGAAGTTAAACAACGCCGTACATTTCGGAAACTTATTTGACTACCTTCCCGGTTGAATTTTTAGCTGAAATTTGGTATGGGTAAACTAGACTTAATGAGGAAGATGCTCAAAAAATTTCATCAAAAAATTCCATCGGGAACCGCCCCAAATGGCGTCGGCCAGACAGAGCATCCGAAATATGACCTTATTTGACATTTTTTTTCGAGTTCGAGACCCTATCTGACCCTTATCCCAAGAAATTATTACCATCTGTGTGAGATGAGCTGCGATTCTGCGAAGACAGTGCTCTTCAACATCCCCTTCTTGGATTGTTGTCGGTTGGAAGTAGAGACAAGCTGAACGATTGTGATAGCAACAATCAGATGGATTGAAGCGAGAATCTGGAGAGACGGGATGGAGGTAGAGAGAGGACGGTACACTGTCAGTGGTGAGGAGGCCACGCGGAATGGGGAGTGAAGGAATCTGGAAAATATCCGGATGTTGTGAGAGACAAGCTGAAGCGGCGTATTCCCCCCCCCCCCCAATGTATACAGTGTATTTGTTTGTTTGGCACTCAGTAATACGGAGCAAGTTTTTATAATCCGTATGTATTTAAACATGTACTTATATCTTCTGAGAAGTTAGAGTAAGACATGTTTCGTAACATTAAAATTAGCAATTGGTTGAATGAATGTGGTGAATCATAAAAAATTATACGGTATTTATAAGACCACTACAATAGCATTGGACACATTATTTAAGAAAGAAATCCCAATGAATAGTGTAGAAAAAGTAAGAGAGAGAGTGTAAAAGTATGTAAGAGAAGATAAAAAGTAGAAAAAATAAGGATAATTAAGTATTTTTAAGGGAAAACTTACCAAAAAGGAAAATGTAGTAAACTTTTAATTGCATCCCAAAAATGAAAGTTTTATCAAACTTTAAAATACGGAGGGAGTACTACTTTCCCAAATAAACTTTAGGCTTTCCTTTTTGTACAGATCCAAAATAAAGTTTTATACTTCTATTTTTAATAGCTTTTTATTATAAATTTAGTCTAATACCATTAGTATACTGTCCATTTAGACCATTTTTCTCTCCAGGTAAAAACTGTAAAATCAAAGTGAGAAATTTATTTTAAATCGAATGGAGTATTTAAATACAAGTATATTTTATCGTAATAAAATTTAAAAAAACATATTATGAAAAGAAAGAAAGAAATATATCGTGAAAAATAATTAAGATGGTCTCACTCCAGCAATTTGAGTCAGTTCAATATGAAAAGTAATATCAATTAAGGAAGCGGTCTAGCCCAGCTGATCGCCGACTCACTCTTCATTATGGGAGGTCCCAGATTAATTATCAATGGAATGACATTGATCTCGGTTTACTCCATGCCCCCCAACCCCCCTCTGACGCCCCTTAATTGGAGTAAAAAATAAGTAATATGAACCTTTTCATTTTTTTTTTTATTACACAATTTAATGCGCCAAATAAAAAATCATGTGTTTGACAAAAGATCGACTGATAAGCCGAAAATAGGTGTTACCGTATGAGCTCTAAATACTTCTTATAGTCATATTTCAATATGCATTATACTACGTATATGAATATATCGTATGTAATAGAAAAACAATTGTCCCGTGCATCGCACGGGTACAATGCAAGTCTTATAAACCTATAATACTTCATCTTCATACTTAATTCTCGTCTTAGTTTATGCTTCGAGGACGAAGCATTCTTTAAGGAGGGTAGAATGTGATACCTTGAAAATTTGAAATAAAAATAAATAAATAAATCAGATAAGTTATATCTGATAAATCAAATGAAAGTAAGATCAAAATATTTTTTTTATTATACTTGGTGTATAAAAATATACGCACACTACATGCAATAGAATTAAACACTTATGTAGCATCGGAAAAAAAAAATAATAAAAATAAAATGGAAATAAATCAGATAAAATATAGGTGACAGAATAAATAAATAAATAAATAAATAAATAA